TGGGTGGTGAGTGGTGGTGGCAGGTGGTGGTGGGGGGTGGTGGTGGAAGACGGTGGTGGAAAATGGTGGCAGGTGGTGGCTGGTGTTGGGTGGTAAAAAAAAAAATTAAAAACTCAAAACGAAAATACATTTTTTTAGTTTATATTTTTTGACCAAATTTATAAACTGAAACCACTGATTTATAAATTAAAAATTTATCAAACAAATTTTTATTTAAATTTTTAAAATTTTTATAAATATAAATAAAAAATTAAAAACGTATGTGTTATCAAACGACACTATTATAACTTCCAATCATGGTGTCTTTCAGGCCCACTATGTGGGTATTTGGTGGGACTTTTTTGAGCCAGTTTATGGCTTCTGGCTTTTAAAAAATTATTTTGGACTGTTTGGTCAAACTTATTTCAAACAGCTTCTGATTCTAACAACTTATTTTAAGTCAAAAAAGTTGATTCTGAGAAGCTGCTCATCCCTTATTTCTGATTATCAGCTTTTACTGTAGACATGTTAATTCACGGTTATACTCTTAGATTTTTTTATTTTTTATTTTTTTTAAAATAGAAAAAGACCCAAATAGTCTATAAATTATTATTATTATTTTTGATAAAAAAACAAATAGTGAATAATAAAAAATAAAAATTAATTGAAAAAGCTACTCACAGCTTATTTAACAAACACTACTCAGCAACTTAAATCTATAATCCAATAGTTATACCAAACAGATTAAAAACTTCGAATTAAAATTATAATCCATAATCTGTTAAGATATAATCTATAATCTATTTTAACAGATACACCAAACATCACCTATCATCTCTAATTCCAATCCCAAGCCCAAAAGAGCCCAATGAAGTCATCATCTTCGCAATTAATGACCCTTCTCTGTTTCCAACTCTGCGTATTAAATGCAGCAGCTGGAAATCCCACCCACTTTCCCCCCTAAAAAAAAATCTCTCCCCACCCCCTCCTCCTCCTCCTACTATTCATTTTCTCTCTCCTCAAACAGATGGAATTCCTTTTCCCACCCCTCTCCCAATGCAATCCTCCACCGCCACCACCACCGCCGCCGTCCCCGGCGGCGCACCACCACCACCTCCCCCCCACTCCACAACCAACTACCTAACCAGCCTCGGCCTCGGCTACGCCATCGCCATCGCCCTCGGCTTCCTCGTCCTCCTCTCCACCGTTCTCCTCGTCTCCTACGTCTGCCTCCGCCATCGCCGCCGCCAAAACCTTAACCCTAGCTCCACCACCACTACCACCACCACAACTTCTTCCGACAACGGCATCATCCTCCCCCGCATAATCTTCGTCGCTGAAGACGACAACGAAGACAACAATAACGCCGTCGTAGGGCTCGATCAAGCGGTCATCAATTCGTACCCTAGGTTTCCCTTCTCGAAGGATCGAGGCGGTGGAATCAACGATTCGATGTGTTCGATCTGCTTGTGTGAGTATAGAGAGGCTGAGATGCTGAGAATGTTGCCGGATTGTCGGCATTACTTTCACTTGACTTGCGTCGATGCGTGGTTGAAGTTGAACGCTTCGTGTCCGGTTTGCCGGAACTCGCCGCTTCCGACGCCTCTCTCGACGCCGCTCTCGGAGGTCGTGCCGCTTTCGCAGTACTCCGATGGTCGGAGGAGGTGACGGTGATGATGATGATGATATTGTTGTGATTTTCAGGGGGTGTGATAATTTTGTTGGTCTTGACTTTGGTGTGTTTGGTTGCCAGGAAAATGTAGATTTTTGGACAGTTAGGAATGGTGGAATCTTTTTGAGTTTTTTTTTTGATTTTTTTTTGGGGGGGTTGAATTTTGGTTTACTTGTAAAGCAAAAAGCACATTATCATTCTTGAGCTGTTTGAATTTTGGTTTACTTGTAAAGCAAAAAGCACATTATCATTCTTGAGCTGTTTGAATTTTGGTTTACTTGTAAAGCAAAAAGCACATTATCATTCTTGAGCTGTTTGAATTTTGGTTTACTTGTAAAGCAAAAAGCACATTATCATTCTTGAGCTGTTTGAATTTTGGTTTACTTGTAAAGCAAAAGCACATGACCATTCTTGAGTTGTTTTGAGTGTGAAATCAAGGATTGAGCTTTATGATCTTTTGATTCAATTTTGTGACTTTGGGAGTGTATGGTTGCTTTGAAAATGTAGATTTTTGAACAGTTAGGAATGGTGGAAGTTGAAGGTTTTTTTTTTTGTTGCCCTTTTCCTCGTCTTCTTCTTCTCCTCTCTCTCTCTCTCTCTATCTCTCTATGATTTGTGATTTTTAGTTGACTTGTAAAGGAAAAACACATAACCATTATGATATTTAGATTCAATTGTTTCGTGTCATTTGAATTCTTGAATTGTTGATAGCTAAGTTTTTGAACTGTGGTTGCTGATTTCTTGGTTTTGGGTTTTGCTGATTATAAATCTTGCAATTCACTATTTTGACAGAACCAATGATAATTCAATTTGTTATTTGACAACAATGTTTTAAAACACTCGTTAAGAATTTAAAATATACATATATTATTTATAAACATGCGTAGTGAACAATGCTTATTTATTTTAAACTTTGTTAACCAATCTTTTTTTGGGTAATTAGTATATGCATTATTTTCCTTGTACTTCCATAATTCATGAAAGTTGCAGGTCCAACAAATGAGAGAGAGAGAGAGAGAGAGAGAGAGAGAGGGGGCTGAAGCTTCATGAAAATTGAAATTTTCGTAGCTAGGGAGAGATTGATGGTTAGATGTATATTATTTCGCGTTCAGAGAGATTATTTAACTTTACCGTTGCGCCAAACTCACCCTAATATGATGCTCAAATAAATGGATTCCTTTTTCCATATCTAGTGTAGAATATCGGAGTTGACTTCTTTTCTTAATTGGCTACGTGCTTTTAACAACTCAAGTAAACTAATCTCATTAAACAAAGCTAGAATACTTAGAAATCATCTCCAAGAAACTTAAAAGACTCTTAAATCATTAGAAAATAGAAACCTATGGTCTCTGATCTCTAGATCCTCCAATCTCCAGTTCTTATAACATTTTTTAAATTAAAATAGATTGCCCAAATCAAGCTCACCCACACTTCTTCTCTCTCCTCTCTTCCAGTTGCAGTTTTCAACTTCAAGCCGCAGGTACTCTCTATACCTTCTTTCCTTTTATTCTTATGCTCAATTTCTGATACAAAACCCCTTGGTTGTCATTTTCCATCGGACCGTTCACTCACTTACCTTAACATGTATCAGATTGTCCCCTTCATAGTTTGAATTGCAAAACCGCGCATATCCAATCCCATACTCGATGTGGTAGTTGTGGTTGTTGGTTATGATACAAACTAAGTACAACTTACCATTGAAAATCAGCTTGCAAGATAAGGGTACCCAAGAGGCTTATATTCACCTGGTCAATCCTATTTGTGTTTTGATGTGAGATCGTAGTCTTTGTGTTTCCACGTGAGATTGTAAAATTTCATACTTAGACAGTTGACAGTACAGTGTCAATGAATTTATTTCTGTAAAGGTCAAAGGGGTTTTTGTACCAATCAATGATCTTAGATTTGAATTATTATTGAGAATATCATATTTTTAGTTCACAGAGATCAGTTCTTCCATTTGCAACTATTGTTAGAAATGCGAAATCAGAATGTTATGGCAAAGATAGGAACATGTAGAGGGATACACAGGTTTTTTTTGATAGTCGGTGTTCTTGGTCTTCTCATCTGTATTGCTACCGTGTCAAATTTCTGCTCTCTTAGATCTTTTCATGTTTCTGATACCTTCTGCAACCATAATCACCCATCTACGAGCCATGGCCGAATTGGGTTAGAAACAGTAATCAAGAAAATCCAACAAGAACTCGCAGAGATGAGAGAGTTGTCAAAACAGTCTTCTTCACCATCATCACCATCATCGTTGGGATACAGCGCTTTTCTTGCAGAAATCTTGAGCCTTATTGAGGAAATTCATGCATCCGTATCACTAAAAATTGAAGAAACTGTACACCCTTTGGTGAGGCCAAAGAAACAATCCAATGAGCCTGCTGAGTTTTTCTTGATCGAAGAGATTCGCAAGTATGTGAGGATCAAACCGAACAGGCTGGGAAAACAGAACTTCATGGGGGCTAATGGAACGTTCACGAGCATTGGTCATGTGTGTTTCGCCATGAAAAAGGAGCTTGAAGAGTATATGGATTACGATGTTGGGGAAATTTGCAGGGATGATTGGAAACTGGCACAGAAGCTGATGGTTCACGGCTGCGATCCCCTGCCGAGGAGGAGGTGCTTTTCGAGAGCTCCTCAGCTCTACACCAAGCCTTTCGCCATTAACGAGTCCCTGTGGAAGCTCCCTGACAACCGAAATGTCCGGTGGAGTCAGTACAGGTACTACAGTTGGATTGTGAATTGAATCGTGAATCGTTTTGTCAAAACAGTGAATTGCAAATCGTTAAATATGTCTTATTTAGCATAATATATAATTTTGTATATGTTTATACTATAGACATGTAAGAACATGAAATAAGGGCAAATTATACCCGGGTTGTTGTATTTTGCTTTTTATGTTAATTTAGTCCTTATAGTTCTAATTGAATCAATTTTGGCCTTTGATTTGTATATTGTGTCAATTTAGTCTAATTAATAAATGGTATATTCAAAAAGGAAAATGAACCATTTCAAAATTGATGTTAAATCTTTCAATCACTTTGAGGAGAGTAAATGAACTATTTTACTTCTTGATCTCAATCCAATTTTTTAAAGGGCGTTATCAATTAGACTAAATTGACATAATATGAAAAATTCAAAAATAAACTTGATACAATTAGAATTACAACGCTCAAATTGACATAAGAAACTTAGACTACAAGTATAATTGATCATAAAATAAATATCAATTTGACTAAATAGTGTATATATAATAGCGGATCACAATTGAATAGTATGATTTTCTCAATTTAAGTCTCGGTTTTGGTTGAAACTGATATTGAATCGTACAGGTGCAAGAACTTCACCTGCCTGGCTAACAATGCCACCAGGAAAGGCTTCTTCAAGTGTGCAGATTGCTTCAACCTCACACACCATGAACTACCCAGATGGATTAAACCTGTCTACCAAGATCCAAACTCAAACCTGACATCTGATTTTCTCATTACCGACGTGCTTGAATTGAAGCCCGGGGAGATCAGGATCGGGCTAGACTTCAGTGTTGGCACCGGGACGTTCGCTGCAAGAATGAGAGAATCCAATGTAACAATAGTCTCAGCAAGCATAAACCTCGGGGCTCCTTTCAATGAACTGATCGCTCTTCGTGGTCTCATACCTCTCTACTTCACAATAAATCAACGATTGCCTTTCTTCGATAACACGCTTGATTTAATCCACACAACAAGGTTTCTTGATGGTTGGATCGATTTTGTGTTGTTAGACTTTGTGTTGTTTGATTGGGACAGAGTTTTGAGGCCCGGTGGGCTTCTGTGGATCGATAGCTTCTTCTGCTCGAAAGAGGATTTGGATGATTATTTGGAAGCTTTTAAGATGCTGAGGTATAAGACGCATAAATGGATTGTTGTTCCAAAGATTGATAAAGATGACAAAGAGGTTTTCTTCTCTGCTGTGCTAGAAAAGCCTCCAAGACCATTCCAGTAACAGTTTATTGTTGTCAATGTTTTGAAATTTTAGGGCTTGTTTGCTTAGTGAGTTGTTTTTGAAAACTACTTTTGTGAATTTTTTTTGAAAGTGACCACTTTTCGAAAACTTTTGTTCTTGTAGAAATGAAAATGATGGGTGTTGTCAAATTTTTAGTTGTTTTTGTTCATGAAAACATGAAAAACGAAAACAATACGTTACCAAACAGGCCTGGCATCTCACAGCTCCTGTTGTTGATAGTTGAATCTTGGGATAATGGGAAAGCATTTTTAATCCCAGTAGTGATCCTAGCTTGGCTTCATCTTTGTGTAGTATTGGAACTTATTGACAGTAAATCATAAACATTAATTGAGAGCTGATACAATTCTCATCTTCTTTCAAATGATATTGTAGAAACTGACTTCTGCATTTCTTTACTGATTAGTCTGGATTTGATGCAGCCAATGGTGGATGCAGAAATTGTGCATAGAGGGGCTAAAGTAAAATTATTTAGATTTTAGAGGAATTGAAGTAAGATTATATAGATTTTGAGAATCAAAATACTAATTTATTTTATAAATACTCAAAATACATGAAAGTAGCGAGTTTTTTCAAAGGTTTGGGCTGCTCGAATACTAAAAATTGCATGAAAATAATTAAAAAAGACTTCAAAATTTAGGATAACAAATGTAAAATTATTTAAATTTTGGAGGGATCAAAGTGTATATTTGAAAGGGCAAAATTGAAAAGTTCTTTTGGAGTCCGCCATTAGCTACAACATCTTATAAGTTGAAAAGTGATAATAAAATAAATAAATTAAAAGCATTTCTCCTCAATTTTCTCAATAATTAAATCTTGTTTCCCTGCTTATTTGATTTTTTTTTTTCTCACTCTCTCTCTTTTTGTTAGAGACTACACCAAAAAAAAAAGAGAAAAAAATCAAAATAAAGAAAGAAAGCTATTAACAGTCCAATAAATTCAACCAAACCAGACCTTTCCATTATATTGTACTTTCCAATCGTTATACAAAGTGACACTTTTAAATTGGATTGCAGTCCTTAAGTCTTTTTTATTGTCTTTATGTGCATTTGTTAGATAAATTTAAAAAATATTAAGGTAAATTACAAACACATCCTTGAGATTTATTTAAATTATAAATTACTTTTTGTGGTCTTAGAAATTATATTATACCTTCTAAAGTTTCTAATTTCATAATAAATAGGTCCTTTTATTAATAAATCATCAAGTTAATTAACAGTTTTTAATAATGTTAAAATTTTATTTCAATTAATAATCCAGATAATTTTATTATTGTATAAGTGAACAGTTAGAAATTTCACTTTTTCAATTAATTCTGTTAAATAAAAAATTCTGACAATGATGTATTTATAATTTTCAAACTACATGAAGTAATTCGTATTTTAAGTAAACTTTAAGGGATGTATTTATAATTTATTCAAAATATTAATGTTATTTCTTTTAGATTGGAAAGAAGATTTTTATTACAAAATCCATAAAAGATTTGATCATTCTAATACTCCATAAGAAAGGGAAACAAACATCCACACAGAAAAGATATTATATCAACAAACTAAAAATTTAAAAAAAAAAAAAAAAAAATCAAACTCAAGTTGCTACCAAACTCATCCAAAATTTTACTGCTCCACAACTTTCAACTTGAAATCTGAAGACCCTATCTCCGTTGGTCAAAATAAAACATTAAGATTGGAGTGATCGCCTAGTATGAAACAAACATATTATTTAGCGTCGACTTTCGAACTGTAAAAAAATTTGAAACCATATCTTAAATTTTTTGGCTTGAAGGCAGAGAAGGTAAAGAAATGATAGTCAGATTAGGGAGACAAACATCGTATCTAAGATAAGGACTAGATCTGGAGGGAAGGGAAAGGAGAGAGAGAGAGAGAAAAGACAAAGAGATTGGAAAGATGGGCGAACCACCGTCGTCTCCTTCTCCCTTGCAAGAAAATCTAGGGAGAAAAGCAGTAAGTTTTTTTTAAATTAATGTTATCTCAAAATTACAGAGAAATACAAGGTAAAAAATATATATATATTATTGCCAAATCATTGAGTGAATGCTCTCTTTAGGGCCCTTCAATATAAAAGCTCTTAAAAAAGATAATTGTATTTCAAAAAAATAAAAAATTGCTTTGAGGGCCTTGTTTGATTTTGGCTGAAATAGTTTTTTAAAAATTTTTTTTTTTTTTTTTTTTTTTGGCTATTTCAATTAATTTTTTAAACCTATTTCACAATGGCTTGAGAAAAAATAACTTTTTTAGCATTGAAATTTATTAACTTTTTTGGCAATTACTTTTTTAAAAATAAAAAATAAAAAATAAAGAAAGCTTCTTAAAAAATAGCTGCCAAATTCCAACTATGGCGGTGTTTGGGAAGTCAAATTTGTGCTTTTTTTTGGATGAAATTCACAAAAAGATAAAATAGGCTAAAATAACCAATAAAACAAAATATCATATCCAATCCATAATCATTTTACTTTTGCTCTCACAAACATCACATCCAACTATCAAAAAATCCAACCATTTCCAAAACACAAAAATTTTAACCTACTAAAATAGTGAAAAATTAAAATAATCTACTAAAATAGCCAACTTCCCAAATGACTCTAAACTTCTCTCCACATTTGCCGTTCCTCCAACTCCTAAACATTGCGCTGTGTTCTAAGTTTGGAATATTAAAAGTATTTCAAAAATGTTATTAAAGGCAAAAAATAATTAAAAATAAAGAATAATTTTCGAATAATGTTATGATGATTATTGTGGAAGCCGAGTAAAAAAAAAAATTTGAATTGGCAAATAGAGTATATCTAAGCCCATCTTTGATGGGCCAAGCTCAGCCAAAGCCCACTAGATTCGGAGTTAACGCCGAATAGGTACAGGAAAAGGACGAAGAGCGTGCCGAGTTAAGGGTATTTGGGCCGCGCATCCGAGTCGAGTATATCAAGTAAGTTGGCAAAGTCACGATAGGTGGGTCCAAACTGTCCCTTTCTAAAGAGTATAGTAGGAGGATGGCTTTGACAAGGTGATGATGGAGGGCTAGGCTACAGAAGAAAAGATTAAGGAGAATAACACTATAAAAGCAAAAAAGGATGAGAGAAGAAGGTATGTTCTAAAAACTTATACAAGAGAAACCAAGAACTAATCTTTCACTAGAAATTGACTTGCCCGTCAGAATGCTAATTCTGGCACCACCGACTGGAGTTTTATTTTTGTTTCAAATGACAGCTGGGAAGATCTTTTGAGGGCATGCTTGGATAGAAGGAGTATTCCAAAACCATTTCATCTTAAGAAACCAAAAAAACACTATTCTTTCTATAAAGCTAACTTGCTCGTCGGAGTACTAATTTTGGCACCACCAAGTGGAGTTTTACTTCTGTTTCAGGTGACAACTGGAAAGATCTTATAAGGGCTTGTTTAGATTGAAAGAGTACTCCAAAACCACATCCCCACAATTGGCGTCGTCTGTGAGAATACTCAAACTCATCCATGGCAAACCCAAATCAAGATCCTCCAGTCGCCGGAGTTGATAATGTCACAACAAGAGTAATTTTTGGTCCAGAAGAAACCCCCGTTAGGAGGTTTCTAAATTTTGACCGGGTAACCCCATTTCAGCCTTCAACATCCACAAAGAATGCCATGTAAACATTGATGAATCAAATGCAACGTAATGAACCGCATTTCGAGGACATGGCAGCGATGAATGAGCATCTGCTTCAGGAGTTAGCAAAGTCCTAACAATTGCCACCTCGCCGTAAACGAGATCAGTCGCCAAGTGAGCAGAAGAGACGACAACGTCAGCCTTAGAGGCACGATAGTAACACTTTAGATTCATCTCAGTAGGAACCTAAGAAATGAACCTAAGTTGATGATTTCAGTTAGTCTGATGGAAAAGATTATTTGCGGGCTCGACGCACGCGAAAGAAAAAAGACTTATATTTAGAATATAGGCACAACCCTTTTGTTCGTCAAATCACAAAGGTTGTCTTGCCTAAAAATTTTAAGGCACCGTTGTTCACTCTATATGATGGAAAGTCAGATCCTACGAATCACGTTCAGTATTACAAGCAAGCAATGATACTGTATACAGACAATGAAGCACTCATGTGTTGGATATTCCCCAGTAGTTTGGGACCACTCGTCGTTAGGTGTTATTACAAGCTTTAACTCCAAAAATCTTTTCGAGCTAGATTCATCACCAATGAAACTCAACCGAAACAAGCAGACTCTTTGTGAGCAATGAAAATCAAGTCGAACGAGACTTTGCGCGAGTACTTGACAAGCTATTGGGAGTGCTTTGATTTGGTAGATGACAATTGCAACAATTCCATGGCGATCACTACCTTCAAGATGGGATTGCATCTCGATAGCCTGCTTAGGAGTTCGTTGACTCGAAGGCCCCCTAAGATAGTCTAGGTTCTGATGAAGAAGGTCGAAGAATATTGAAAAGTAGAATATGATGAAATATGAGATAAAGCTGGACTACAAGTTATAGAATCTGCAACGCTTGTCTTGGCACAACCATTAACAACTACACCACCAAATAGAACCCCACCACGGAGGAGCCTATAGCCAAGAGGTCGATCAAGAAAGGAAAACCGCCGAGATTCACGCCAACAGAGTGAAAAATATCAGGTGGATAACAGACGCTCTAGGCGGTTAGATAAAAAATACCTTATCTAAGTCGATTAGCAAGATTCTACCAAAAATCCATCATATGGCTTTTTGTAAATGGCCGACTTAGATGTCCGGACCTCTTGACATGAGATGGAGAGATCGGAGATGCGAATATCACAAAGACCATGGGCACATGTAGACATCCTATTTTAACCGGCCCTAAGACTTGGGTACTTTCTGTTGATTACCCGATGATAACAATCAGAATGTGTTTCTCACAGAATCCTCGGAAGATAGATGGAATTTGAGCTTTAATCCCAATATTCACACATTTTTGGCTAAACTATTTTAGATCTTAAAACCCTCTTTTCAACATATTTTTCCAAATGTTTCTACGATGTTCCGAGGCTCCTATTTCAATTAAAATATTGCACTTTTTAGTAAACCGAGTATGGACAAAGTGGAAATAAATGGAAGGGAGGTGAACTCTTTGAAAAATAATTAAAAACATATTATTTATA